ATGGAAACGGTCACATGTCACTTGGGTAAAATAGAATGTGGCGAATAAGCCGCACGAACAAAATTTACAGTGGCGACCGCAAAAATTTATATCCCGCATTTAATATTTTACACTGCAGTGAAGAGGTAGGGGAGCCCCTTAAATTAAACAGCCCTAGGTGATGATAGAGAAGATGATATTCCTTTTACTCGATTACGGCGCAGGCAAAACATATTTTAGGAACATTTTTTGGTTAAACGGATTTCCGAATATTACTTCGTTTGATGACGTTTAATAAAGATAAGAGAGGTTGCGATGAGAAAGAAATGCATTTAATTAAAATTCTGATCAGTGTTGTCTCGTAAATCTTTGAGTGGAATATTGTTTGCATAAATCTTTGCGTTGGACTTTTACTTTTATTAAACGTTGCATTGTAAGCAAATTCAAGATACAAATCAAATATCGATACAAACGCAAACTGTTATTCATCATAATAGGTACTTTTATTTATATTTTTCTTTTATCCCCTTAACATTCAAGCTAAAATAAAAAAGAACAGTAAAAACCATTTGCCCTACCTGTTTTGACCAGCTGGCACATCAGCTATCAAATCACGGAACTAGATCTGGTCTCTACAATACAAAAATCAACATAAACGGAGCAGAGCACATTCATTCCAATCAAAGTAATACCTGCATAAACATTATAATGATCAGTATTCCATTAAGCACTTCCTGCTACTATTGAAATGGTTAGAAGCATGCAGTCATCAGAAAGATCGTGATGCGGAGCGGTCGTGAGGCACGCACCCGGTGCTCAGAAGCCAAGGTCACGGCTCAACCCGAGGCCAACGCCACTACCACGCGCATCAATTTAAATAAATATAAATTGCTTAGCATGAGATTAAGTGATCTCACTTTGATCTAGTACTGAGTGATATCATGGTGACGTCATTAATTGAAAGTTTGGATTTACATTTGTTTTGTTTGTCAGCAACAAAGAATTATTCAATAGAGGATGAGTGATGGATTGAGTTTTCTTATTATCTTTGCAGTAGCAAGTCGCAATAAGTTTTATTTTAGAGAACGTTTCATAAAAATTCAAGAAGTAAAATATTCTTAACTACTAGTACAATTTGTAGGTATTTGATTCGACTCCCAAAATGTGAAGTAAAATGTTTGCTTGAAAATGAAAGGTGAAATTCAAATTACACGTTACATTTAAGCTTTCTCATGCCAAGTTAAACTTGATGAGAGTGACTAATTATAGAACCCGGTGAATACCTAAAACACTAATGGAACTAACATAATTGCGATAATTACACGTTTTTCTAACCTATGTTCACAACCGTGAAGGTTACTCAAAGGCAAATTACTTAAAATTCGATTAGATGAGTCACAAACGTAATTACCAGATTAAAATACCACACGACTTCTGTTAATAAAAATTAGTACAAAAAGGTCTCTGAAAATTTGAACTGCAAAAAAAAAGTAAATAAATAAAAAAAGTGTGGCACGGTATTGATAGTTGTCCATAACATAATTATTATTGTACATCTGTGATAGCAACTAATGTGTTTCGAATCTTCGATACGTAATAAGACCATTGCTATTGCAAATTCCTATTAGTAAAAACACAATGTTTGATATTCTCGACCCAATATTTTTAAGATTACCCTCGGCTACTCAAAGTAATTTTATTGTGTAACTACATATGTTTTAAGTATGTACCCAATGTAATTTTTTGGTTGTTCATAAATACGGATATATTGTTTCGGGCACAGATTCGCATTCTGTACCTACTTATGTATATTTTGTATTTCTCAGTCAAGTCAATGTAAATTGTTTTTGAGAAATAAAATGTCTTAAACCGTAAAATTATAGTTAAAATGATAATAAGCTTAGTAAATAGATCACAAAATAATATAGTAATAAACAATATTGTCTAGAAGGTAAAACAAGACAAACATATTAAAACTATTTCAAAAATCAATAACAACAAGTTTGAAAAAGGAATGAGTGAATGAATGAGGTACAAACACATTAATTTTGTCCCTTTAATGCTTAGAATTTCCATTTAGGTTAAGGAAAAGTAGTTTCACTAAAAACCTGTATCATACGCTAACAATAACTAAAGCACCCCAAACAGCACTTCCGTGTCCTAAAGCATCTAAGAGCAGAGATGGAACAAAAGAAAATCTCAGACTGAGCTTTAAATAACTGCACCCAGAAGGCAGATTACATCACATTATAAAACTTTGTTCAAAGCATTTTAAAATAAAAATAGTTTAATGCAAGGCAGTCCTGACAAGATAGTCGTCCCTATTGTATTCATAAAACTGAGCGACTTTATGATGGTTTATTTTTAAAACCTATCTTATCATTGCAAATGTATTCTTATTTGTAAAGCGGTAAGACTTAGTTCTGTACAATATAAGGAGTTCTAATTTAATTTCAAAGTAGCCAGAAACTTTAATACTCAAAATTAATTCAAGAAACAAACCGAAACAGCCGATGTTCCAACAAAAAGCCGAAATGAGGAAACAAACGATGCCCATCAAGCCGCAACAAATATCCCAACAATGATTTACGGGACTCAATCCTTGGAGGAATACCTAAAACTTTGCTCCTCAGCACATAATAACAATGATATATAACTAGATACAATGACGTTTGTATCAAGTTAAATGTTCGTAGTTACGTAGCCACTAGCAAGAATGCTACCCCAGGGATCTATATTGGGACCAACATGACAATTTCACTGTTGATTTTTTGTTTAAAAACAAGCAATAAATATCGCTTGCCCGTATCCATTGACGGTTATAAAACCGAACGTTTAATCACATCCGCAATGGGCATAAGCCCATTGCGGATGTGATTAAACGTTCCGTTGTCAAATTTGCCTTTGGTAAATATAAATTGCACATTAGTATACAAATCACATTTTCACCCAAACGCGTCATTTTGTTTAGGGAAGCTAAGTGGAATTTATTATACTTGGAAACTCCTTATTGCGCATCACGTAACATCCGAATATTTATTATATTTGTATGGTATTTTAATTGGACACTCGGTACAATGCGGCACTATCATTCTAACATAACATTCACGATATTATATTTTTTTCCTTCAAAATTGAAATTATTTTATCGTAACATTTTTATCGGTTCCTGTCCGGAAATAAAGATTGATTGCGCCATCGTTCACATTTTGGACCGAATGTTCATTGCTCACAAATGGCAATTACATACTGAATTTGTTGTGAACAAAATATTCATCAGTGCAGGCGGTGTCCGGTGTTCCAAAAGCTGTACGTGGTTAGCTCACACGGCAGTGTACAGGGCAATCAGTTCAGTAGAGCAAAGCTGGCCACAAACGGTTCCAGCAAACCGTTGCAGTAACTACTGTCGGTTGCTATCGTTCGCAACGCGATTAGCAGTTAAACGCGTCTACACTAGCGGTGCTTTCAACATGTACAACTTTTATGACGCTAGTCTATCATGATCTTCTATTTCTATACAGCTTTTTAGTTCTTAAAGCTCCATGATGTCTGGTCACGTAGTACATTAAGAATCATCAGAATCGTTGAATGGCCTTGAGGCAATTTTATAGATTGCTTTGGTCTTGTGTGTTATTATACCGTTTGATGACAAAGTACCTAAACTCGATTAGATTTCAAACATAATAATAATATGTCTTAAATCTTCCATTTCGGTGAAATACTTTTAATATTAAAAGAAATTCTGGACAATGAATTTAATTGTATATAAAATGTTGAATTATTGTTGTCACTTGAACTTAAATAAAACTGCCGAGCCTAATCCTCATTATAATTTATTAATGTTAATGATTTATAAAATTGTTTGTCAGCAGAGCTAAAATTACGCTCATAATTTTCTTGGGGAAACAGTCTTAATACAATGTTGTATCAGTTTTATTACAAACATTATTCGAACAAACGATGATGGATGACGCGTGTTGGACGTACATACATCCAGCTTATCAAAGTCACAATCACGAAACAAAATTCCAATGTAATAAAACAGTCAGTGCGGTAGTAATGGAATAAGCACTGGCATCCTGCAAGGGTCAGTGACCTTGTCTTGTATCAGACACGTGATTCAGTACTTTATCTTTACGATTGGTGCCAATGTGGAGTCGATAGTCTTTGAGTACCATTGACGTCATGAGCATGTCCTCAACAGCACTTGCATTAGACGCAGCAGGAAGCATTTGATTTGTTGGTGTAATATCATATCATGCACTTATTTTTGTGAAATGTTGACAATTTGAATTAAGATAATTGTACTATTACTTTAAAAAAATCCGAAACACTGCGAGCCTTTTTGACGCATCCAGTACAAAGACAGATCTACTGTTTATAAGATGTAGCATTTCAATGATCAAATAAATATAGGTAGATCTGTCTTGAATTTTTTTCCGAACATAGGTATAATATTTTCTCTTTGTACACATTTTCTATTATTAGAACTTTTATGACAGAGTTCATTCGTACATCGTTGTGAAGAAGACAAATTAAGGTGGATCTATTTTTAAAACACGCACAAACAAAACATTTTACTTGTAATGTTATATTGTTTGACAAATTGCCTAAAGAAATGTCGAGATTATCATAAATTTGAAATGTATTCTAACCTTTTAACCTTTAATTATGAACATATCAAAAAGTCCATAACTTACAACCAGTGACAGATATGGGTTAGTAATCGAAAATCTTGGGAACACTGTTGGATAGTTCCATTAAATTTATCAGCAATCTCAATCGAAGGGTCACTATTACCAACAATAATGTACCTAGTAATGATTGTAAGGCTTTCAGATTCGGACCCGTCCCTCCCAAAATGAAGTTGAGCATTGGGTCAATTGATTAAATCCGTAGCCGATCTGGATCCACTCACAATAGCTGAATTAATAAAAAAGTAATGATACGGACTGCTAAATTGAATATACAATTTTGTTATACGAAAATCACATACTAATATTTAAGGATCACGAGCTTACCTCTACTAGAACTGCGATAGCACACAAACAAATCTGTGAACAAAGGAAAAGAGAAAAATGAATGCAAGTTGTTTTGAAACGCTGGAAAAACATTTCGACTAGGGCGGGCAGTTATTAAAACGTCACAAAAGCGTGCGTCATACAAATTATAAACACAACGGTGGCTGGCCGTGCAAACTCACGGCCGAAAATCATAGAACACTCAAAGAACGATCTCATAAGACCCTTGACATACACAACTCGTTTTAGAGCTGTACCTAGCCGTTCGCTCCGAGATCGGTCCGGGTCTCGAGAGTGCTCGCCGTCCCTCGTTACGGCGGGGGCCCATTAGACCAGGGGGCGCAAACCGCGCCACGATTTTAGTTTCCGACCCAACGCGCTCCGAAGCACTTATATCCGCACATATCCGCCTATATCCGCCCCTTAATAAGGGAGTCGGCGCCTAATTGACTTAACATTGGATTAATAACGGTTTAAGACTGAAATATGTTTACCGATGAATGTCATGCTGGTTCGTTTTTAGATTGGCGGGGATTTTGGGTAAAGTTAAATTGATTTTTGGGACAAATGGGTTTTTAATTTTATCCTGAGGGTAAAAGTAAGATAAGGGGTTAATTAAACATCTCAATTTTCATACTCCTGATACGTAGGTAGCAATGCCCTCACTGATGTATTTCATTGTGTTTTTGCTAGGTTGAACATAATTTCTGACTGTAATAGAAGATTCTAACCCAAATAGTGTAAAAAATATTATCTGAAGATACTTTGACTAGAACATAGTCAAGTTAAAGTGCACCTGACTAAAGATTATAACAGTAACGCACCATTAAAATTCACTCCAATCCTATTCTAGATTCGAAATTCCGAACTCACACTCGAAAACGAATATCGCAAAGAACAAGATTGAGAGTCTCCACGAAAACCGCTCATTAAATAAACCTTTGGATGAAACTTTTGAACAAACTCTCGGGTGGTGGAACACTTAGTTTTTAATTGATCGCCAGTCATTGAATAGAGCAAGTTCGGAACGACGAGGACACGTCGTCGAGACTGTAATAAAAGGCTTTCGAGATTCACCTGAAGTTAGGGGCAGTCGTTAAAGCGATTTATATAAGTTTCCCATGTGATTGGTGTTTTGTCTCTCGTTCTTTTCTTCTTTATTTTTTGTTTTATTTCGAAGTAGGCGTTGACTACACCCCCATAAAGAAGGAGTTCAAATAAATATTACAATCGATTATGTTACTATTACGATAATGTAACTGGTCCCGACAATCTCAGTCTTGGTAATATCGTTCAACTACTAAGAAATAACTAAATTAGTAGTACTAAATAACTTTAAATTTATGAAATCAAATATTTGTAAGTATTGAATTTATAATTTGAATATTCATATTTCAGTTTCTCTGTAAACATTTCAAGGCTTAAACTATTCAACTCTTTATGATTCAGCGAATACTTTTGTAGTCTCGTTACCTCCATCTTCTTAGTCTCATCAATTAAAAGTTTCACGTTTTGAGCTAAATAACTTGAATTTACTTTGGCACAGTTTGGCATCTTTGAGCTTTATTTCTACCTCGATTCTATTGACCGACATCCTTATTTACCGCATTTCATTTAACGATTTTGAACCTTAAAAGCTTCGAATAGTTACCGAGTACTTTTGTCTTTACGTTTGGGAATAGGAGAACAGTTTCTAGAAAGATTTCGTATTCCGTTAGGCTAAAGAAAATGTTCTTTATTTGTGTAATAGCTCGGGGGAAATGAAAAAATTGATAAAGTGCGTAATAAATTTTTCTTCTACATTTCTTCATATGATTTTTTTTCGGTGTATATTTGACAGCTATGTTAGATATTTGGAAATCTTCCACAATCGGGTGTTGTTGACTCCTAAAGTATGTTGTTAGGCAGGAAAACATATTTTTATTCCAAGATTTAATTGTGATTCTTCAAATTTGCGCTCAGCAATTCATATTTGCGTATGATTTGAATTGTGTTTTTGTTATTGGAATATTTTCGTCGCTATTTTCTTTATTCTTTATTACAAGGGGGATGTGACGGGTGGAATGTTCTGGAATTAATTTGTCTGTGACAATAACGTTAAATAAAGTTATATAAAAGAACTCTCGTGGAAAATAAGATATCTTCTTTATGAAATTGATTCTTTAATAACATATAAGTTACGTAAATTACCTACCTCGGTGGCCAAGTGGTCGTAAGTGCGACTGCTGGGCAAGGGGTTTCGGATACAATTCCCGGATCAGGAAAGTACTACTGGTTTTTTTTTATACATGGCCCAGTATATGACAATAGGCTCACCCCCTATTATATGGGACTCGTTACATAAATACTGAAAAGTGAGTGTTACATTGTACAGTGGCATTAAGTGGTGTAATGTGCACCTCTGATAACCCTTTCATGGATAAAACGCGTGATGTTATGTGTGTGCTACGTTTTTGAGACAAAAACAGTTATTAATATTTTCATTTATAAATGAAACAGATAATGTTTGGCTCTATCTTATTATTATAATCCATTAACAGTATGAATACTATAGAAACATCACACACTGTCTGGGTGTATGTAGGTATACATTTCGCTTCAGACTCACAACATAAATTTACAGCAACTACACAATAGACTATTCCTTTTTATAGTCAAGTGAAAGTATGTGACATAAGTCTAACATGGTCTAACATGTTCTAACAAGTTCGTCCTTTCTATGTCATGTCAGCTGTCAGAAAACACGCGTTATGTCATGTTAACGAGTTTACGACGTTCATGCTAATCAGTACATTGGACAAACTATACTTCCTGTATGTTTTGAAATGGGTGTACTGTAAATATATGTTGTGGAATGGGTGCGATGCTCGATAGTGAACAATATAGAATTTATTTAAATGTAATGGTAATCGTACTTATTTAGGAAAGATGGGACTGTTTATGTAAAAAAAATTAAGCTTATTATATTCTTTATTCATTTTAAAAAAATCCTAAAAGTTAATATTTAAAAATGTAAACATAGAACCGACCAGTAGTGGGAGCATGGTCCAAACTACCGATGGTTACGGCTCCAGAGACAGAAATCTCCTTACGATGCGCGCCGTTTCAAGAATTGCCTTCTTTACCAAGCCCTTGACTCAACTGCCTAACGCCAGCCTCCTAAGGTGGTTGTCGAGACTATTAAGAATTAACCTATTGGCCGACACGACTATAGTCGAATCCACATTCCACATGTCGACAACATGTTATATTATATTAAGTATCATTAGCTGAAGTATTTTTATTACATACTAAAAACTAGGTATGTATAATAAAGTAAAATATGTAGAATAAAGCGTCATATTAAAATAAAAAATATACAGTCACAACTATTATAATTATTTACAGTCTATACGAACCAACTAATTGGGTTTTCAATACACTCTTTCGACTAGCGATTACATGACACTTCTCTGGGGGTTGCAATATACTAAATGCAAAAGAATCACCATAGCTTACCTTATTTAATTTAATAATAGAAAATGACTGACTTAAAGTAGGTAAGTTTAAGAATCCTAATTTAAATAAACGTTTATGATATTATTTCTTAGAATTTCGATTTAATATTTATTATTTAGAAATCCTTGTACAAGTCTTGTGCTTTATTAGAATAGCCTAAAGCGAAATTAAAATTAGCCACAAAATGTTGATTTTTAACATTTACATTATTATGTAGGTACTTTATTGTAGATATTTTTATTCGATCTTTGAGTTTTGCGTAATCTTTGTTACAGAGAAAATAAAATGATTCATTATAAACAGTTGTTTTACAAAATTCACTAAAAATCGCGGGTTACTCACGTGAATATACTGAGAAAAGCTCTACTAGTTTCGAACCACATAGGGGTTCTTCCTCATGAACACCGTGCGCGGTCGCGGCGATGTTGTGCCTGTTGTTGTTTTACAAGTTTTTATTTAACATTAACGTCTTTTTTTTTTAAGGGGGGAAAATCATCGAATGACTTCTCCCGCCTGAGTGAGGCGGGAGGGAGTGTCAGACTCTTACTGACTAAAAACCACCCCGTTCCTTCTCCTGCACGTCGAGCCGGAGCCCCGGTTACCCGTTAGGTTCTCCGCGACAACATTAACGTCTGGGTTTTTGTGGTCTTATGTGGTCAATCTTTGACCATGCCTATTTATAGAAATTAATATTTATTGCAAAAAAAATATATATGTCTGTTTGGTTTGTCCGAATCTTAGCAAAGCATCGGATTAAATATTTAAAAGTTTTCCTGTAGCAATATTCTTTTGCACAAACCGAAAGTTTAGTACGAGACTCGAAATACATGGAATCAAACAAAATTGAGCAAAATGGCTAATACCTGTACTTTAGCCTAGTTTGGGGACTAAAAACCAATTATTAGGTATGTTACAAAACGCGATATTATACATTTATGCAGAGCTGATTTCTTCTTCAATTCAAAAAGCTTTTTCAAAGTTAAGAACTTAAGAAAAGTTGAGAGTTCCCTCGAGAAATCAGTAAACCGCTAGCTCAAAAGCAATCAGCTCACAACGTAGGTTCCCCTATTTCTACAAGACTTCAGCTATGTAAATGGAAACAATTTAATATTTTATCTTGAACATGACGTTTTGATACAGGTAAGAAATATGCATTTTTAAAGGTAAATATCAATTTTTTGCAACCACTTCATCTGTTATTAATTACATCTTTATGGCGGACCAGCCATTTGTCAATTCATTTGATGGAAAATAGTAACATTATACTGTTTCTTTAATTCTGTAGTCGCTATATAGAGTATTGATCTTCGGGTAGAGTATAGTTTTATTGAGGATTTTTAATCTTAAACTATGACTATCACTTTTATGCGTATTTCCAATCACAGAATACTCAAAAATACGATAATATAAAAAGATTTTGTACGAATTTTTCAAAGACAAAACAAAGAAGGATCATTAACCATTTTACCTTATTGCACAAAATTAGATATTTCCTTGAAACATTTGTGTAGTAAAGACAGTCATTCACTTCAGTG